TTTTTTTTCTTGCAACATCGAAGCGGGTGCGCCAGGCAAACAAGAGAGAATTTGTCCCGACGACAGAGTACACAAATAAGCAAATAAGTGAGGTGCAGAAGAAAATGAAGAACCCAAGAGCGCCCCAAGACAACAAAAAGAAAACTCAACTCTGCCCACGCCCATGCTGGAACTTCACTCAACAGTATAGTAATAGTGTCGATCCATTTCGTTCTTTGTTGGCCCCGTAAGCGTGGGCGCTACACCATAAATCGAACACAACCTCATTAGTGCNGTACTGCTGTAGGTCAGTGCACCCAAGTTCCAAGTTCCAAGTTCCGGTTTGAATTTCGTTTAATTTTGGGATTGCAGGCACAGATTTTTGTGCGGGAAAAAGGGAGGAGGACTTTGCCTGAGTTTGTTTTGCTAGCTCAGCGAAAGAAGGGGGAGGTGGCGTGCCTTGCTGGATACTTATTGCAATATGCAGGCCTACTGTGTTCAAGCGACGATTTGCTTTGCCCGTGAATAAAAAATTGTTCATGAGTCGGTCGGAGTGCAAAATATGATGAAGAATTCACAATCCGAACGTCGTTGCCCAAAGGAACATGCTGCGGAACTCCCGCAACCATGGCATAACGCTTACGTTAGCCGTCGCGTAACCGGGCAGCGTTACGCGGAGGGGTGTCCGTAACCTTAGGACGTTTTGCCGGTACCTCTTCTGGAACCCAGGCACGTTCTGTCGCGCATTTATCCCTCCCCCGGTAAGGTTGCGAAAACCCCCCCAGACACACAACCTAGTGGCCACCTGTGAGGCATGGGCAACAGGGTCTGTAAGGCGAGATGCACTGCCATTTGCAGGCGAGAGTCGCGTGAGAGGGTATCTACAGAAGCTTCCTTGATTCAGATCTGACACTCACAAGAATCTATCTCACTCTTTTCTCTCCTCGCACGTCTCCTCCACGACGGCCTTTTACAACCCCCAGAACGAAATCGCAACAGAACGTTGTCCGTGTCCTCGTGGCCTGCCCCACCACACCGAAAACAATTACTGTTTCCGACCAGCGAAACTCCCCAACCCCCTCTCCGCCCGTTTGGCCAGCCCGCGCAGGCAGCTGTAACGACGAAGCCGATTTCGGTCGAGGTAACCGCGGGCGGACTGATCACCAGCGCCGGAAGGTGTATGCTCAGTGCACATGCGGCGAACGCCATTCGAAAAGCGGCCGACGTCGCCGGCGGACTTGTCTGCACCGTGGCAGATGTAGATCTCCTTCGAGTCGTGAACTGGTCCGGAATTGCGGAAGGAGCTCTATCGGGTGACATCGGAGCTATGCTTATCTACGCGGGTGACGAATTTACAAACGCGTTGGCCCAGTTCATAGACGAACGGCGTTCTTCCGCCCGATTGCAGAGAGACTGCCGTCTCGACCGAGTCCTCTCGATGCAGATGTCATCTGAGTCTGCTCAAGTATACGATGTAAGAGCGGTGCATGAGATGGTCTGTGCGGGGGACTCCTTGCAGCTCAAGGTCATCCGGGGGGCGTCCAAGCTTTTCCTGACTCAAGCGCCTGGATTTCTCTGCCCACGGTTCGCGCTTGTAGGGGGCTTGCCGCTCGAACCAGACATGACGGGGGGCGGTGTGACAAACTGCATGCCGAAAGGCGCCAAGATGACGATTGCGGGTCCTGGATGGCATACTCCGGGCGAATTATACCTTTGCGCGTGGGGGGTCTGGAACTACGTCGCGCTGGTTTCAGCACTGATTCTTACTCGCGATGATTCCGGGTCGAACTTCATTCTTTTGACACTCATCACTGAGTTCGTGGGCTCGGTCATCGTGTGGTGGATCCCGCACCGCTGGTCCGCAGGCGCTCTGTCGTTCCTTGCCAGGGCCGACCCTGTTCACTCGCTATTGACCGCACAACCGTCGGCCGGGTTCACGGCGAGAGTGGTTATGGTTGTCGAAGCGTTGGGCGGCGTTGCCGGGGTAGTGGGGCTCTTCAGCGTATTCACCACGCTCGCCGCATACATTCTGGCGGCGACGCCGACCGTGGTTATTTTGGTAGGGCTTCTGTCTCCAAGCAGCTGGTGGGCACGGTTTGTCCTGGTGTGTTTTGCTGGTCACATGTTTGAGTTCGCATTCGAAGCCGCGTACGCGTTCAGCTCGGACGACCTACGGGTGACGGTTCTGCTAGGGAGCGCCGCCATTGCGGAGACACTGACCTCCCTTCTCGTCTTGTACGAGCTTTCGAAAGCCGCCTGGGCCACCTTTATGTTCGCCAGTGGCAACCCTGCAAGATGCAAGGCTCCAAGATTTCTCGTCAACGGAGCGTTGGCTTCGCTTGGTGTACTGGACGGGACGGCCGCCACCTTGATGCAAACAACGGCTCCAGGTGGGGGAGCAGCGAGAGCCTTCCTGGTCAAAAGAGGATGTGCGGCAGTCGATTTCCTCCCCTCCCATGTCGATTGCCTAAGTGGTCCGGATGTGTCGTGTGACGGATGGCTGTTGCTTGATGAGCCCCATCCAGCTTCGTGCAGTGGTCAGATCGATCAGATGGAGGGACACCCTGTCGGCACGTGGGCAACCGGCCTGGCCGTCTATGGTGGAGGAGTGCTGCCGGTTCTTAACTCTTCTTATCGGCACGATGACGACGCTGACGAGGTCTGACAGGCCTTCCTACAAATGGAGCATATTCGGTAGAAATACTATGTGCCAGTAACGATAGTGGGCGTCGCGTCGCCGTGGTGAATAGAGGGCCTGAACCCGTCGGGCGAGAACTACCAGTACCGGAGTGAGCGCTCTGGCAGTGGTTGGAAGAGGGTCTCCACGTACGGAAACCGAGCGAGCGTGGAGCGGAGATGGAGAATCGTCTCCCGCTGACCACCTCTGTTCTGTTTTCACGTGAAATATCTATGTATCGGCAGAGAGACAGACAGGGGGGGATGCATCGCGAGTGATAGGCTCGTGTATGTGCCATCCACCTTTGTGACTACAAGGCAGTGTTTCGCGAAAGACCCTCGGTCGGACATTTCTCACCTCCACTGTAGCAGACCTGAGTACAAATTAATCCGTCAGCTTGTTCATCAGCTAGCGCGTACCTGTGGGTCGTGTTTCGTTCCAAGCTTGAGTTTTGTACGCAAACCAGTCGAAGGTGTAGGTACGGGAAGAAACGGTGCACCAACGCCGCCACTTTTCCTGTATATTCGACTCGGAGTGTGGGCTCGGGCTCTGTTGGCGAGTATTAAATTTCAGTGAGTGAGTAAACGTTTACGTCCCGAGTGTTTCTCCCCGAAACAATCAGCTGGATGGCTCGCCCCCTGCAGTGGTCGCCTCCACTTGATCGCTCTCCCAACCTTCCTTGATCGACGTCAGTTGCTTTCGGCGGCTTTTTTGTTGTACAAGGGGTGTTTGGGTTTCAAATGCGTGTTTGGGTTTAATAAAAAAGCCTTTTCGTGTTGGTTCGGTGCGATGTTCTCTAAGTCTGTCTTCGGGCTCTACCACAGCCCTTGCGCTTTCCTCGGGGCCTTTCGTCAGGGGCGACAATCTGTTCGGACGGACGGGATCATCAAGAGAAGAACGGGCGAAAGTGTTTGTTCACTCGTCTTCGGAGAAATGTCATTCATCGTGACCTCCCACAACAGCTTGCTCGAGAGCGAACGACAAAAAATGGAACGATAACCAGATCCCTCCTACAGAAAAAAGTAGCATTACCCATCTCAAGACCACCCAGAACAGTCACAGTCTCGCAGCGTCTTACCATTATAGCGGGGTGCGACACCGACACTTAATTGCGTCTTGGGCCGCGGCGCCATCACGTGTGCGATCTCAGATTTCCACACAATTGTAGTCCGTTCCCTCTCATACACGGGACCCCAAATCGACACGGCAGGCGGTGGACCGGAATCGGAAGACGGTGCCAACGAGAAAAGCGTTCATGGTAGGAGAATTCCCATTGACGAAAAGTGCGATCAGTATTACAGTACAGCAGTAGCAACGCACCCGCGGTCATTGTTCTCTCGCGTCTCGGGTTTCGGCATCAGGATCATCCGGCCCCACCCGAAGAAATCCGGAATGGCATTCATTCGGGCCCGCAAGAGGGAGACACCCTGTAACCGCGCTGTTGATGTGAGTACGAACATTCGCCGCTAAAGTAGATGTTTCGGTACTTCATGTATCGGGCTACGAAAGGTTTCTACAGGTTACGTGGAATCTCGCGACTTTCGCGGGACTGCCGCTCGTTGTCAGCGCCGGACATTTCTTCTGCCCTCAACCCAAATAGGGCACATTTATCTCCAGTAGTTGCACCGTGTCGTCATTCATTCTCGCACGACGTTTCTACGATGCACAATGTCGGCCAAGTGTTGTTATACATCGAATGGCCTGGGGCAACGTCCATGGACTGGAGCAAAGCACCGAGAGCCTGCCTAACACCGGCTGCTCCTACACTTTACTGCAAAACTTCAGGCTGGTTACCGAATGCCAAGATGTCGCACACCGTGTTGAGAAAAACCTCATGAACGATGTTCATGGCTGTTGACAATGGTAAACGCGAGGAGCGTGCTCCATGGGTGTTCCTGCGCGACACATTCCACATCTTCGTTACGGCCAGATGCTTCGGCAGTACAGTCCAACTAAGAATGATACCGCGCACAACACAATCGTGTCCAAGAAACCACCGCCGCGTCCTTCGAGGTTTCGGCTTCCCCTTCCTTCAGCCCGTCTGTTGGCATTTTGCTGGAGACCCATTGCATATGCATACAGTCGAGCATCGACCTGATAGCCAATCCTGGGAGAAAGCCTGTAAGGATGTCAGCAGCCCCTCCAGAGCCACCCGATGGACAGTGATGGACTCCCTGCAAAATTGGACACAGTACAGGGTCGCGGGTCGCGGGAAGCGTGTCAATCAAGCTGAGGAACGATTCAAATTCTTGTCGGAGTCGGAAATGACTCAACACCACCAGACGTTTGCTGAAATTCCTTGTGGTTCAACACGGCGCATTGAATGAGGGCTTTCGTCCACGAAATCGTTGTAAACGCAGATACCGTGTAACCGTGCCAACCGTTCCCCAGCCCTTTGGCGCCTTCTTGACCGGGACGCGTTCGAACGTATCCCGTGTTCACTGAATCATCCCTTGGGCATGCCAACGACGTTGACCAACACGACCGCTGTGCCTTCACAACTCTCATGGCCGCATATCGTGGAGAGGCGGTTATGGCGTCGTCGTCGCACAGGCCTAAAGAGGTCTGTTGACATATTCATCGAGCTGTATACTTTGGGCTGGTCCCATCTCCACTGCAGCGCACAACGAAAGAATTCGTGCTGCGTATGTACCTCCGCGGAGTGCACAGCGTACCGCCCAAGGACATGTTCATGTGTTTGGATACGGACAGATATTGATCGACCGCAGTAACGGATATATTCGCAGATAGGAACGTAGACATACCATTTTGGGGTTCTTGTGTTTGTGACCCCTGCTTCTCTGTTTTCCGGAAGCACTCTTCTTCTTTTCTCTTGCTTCAGCGTTTCTAATACAAGCGATATTCAGTCTCTCCCTTCCAAGTCGCGGACATATACAACACACTAGTGATCCATCCCTCGAGGGAGTCCATTCGGAAAATGGAGAGCCATGGAGACGGGAGCGAAAATGCTCCCGGTGGTGATCCTGGTGGGAGACCAGATGAGGTTGAGATGCTACGAGGCAAGGTAGCCTCGTTGGAAGCATCGCTGGACAGCAAGTTTGACGGCATGATGGCCATGATGTCGAAGCTGTTGGCCAAAGGAGAAGGGTCAGGCAGCACCACGGAGGGTGCTGCTGCTGGCAGCGGCGCCATGGAGGGCGCCGCAGCTACTGCGGAAGTCCGGAGAGGGGCACCGCAGAGTTGGAGTGGACAGGGCGAGACGTACCTGCCCGAACCTTTGAGAGAGTCTGGTCCTCCTGCGGGAGGGCGACACAGCGGCGAAGCTAGGGGGTTAAACCCCCGAGAGGTGAGAGTAGCCGCTGCTCACAACCAAGGTGGTTTTGGTTTCAGTAGTCCCACGGGGAGTGGTGGTGCTGCTGAGGTTGGTGTGTATGCTGGGGGCGGAGAGTACGCTTACAGCAGTGCAAGATATGCACCAAACAAGTTCAACGGGGACCCAAAGGATTTCCCGACGTGGAAGGAGGATTTTCTCATGATGGCAAATGGTGCTAACCTAGCTCAACAGTTTCAGGAAGGAACGGTGGAAATCCCTGTGCACAACAACGGTGGTCGGACCAAACAAGAGCTGTGTATTGACTACCCAAGCCAGCAAGTAGAACTGGCTTTTCACGCGTGGAACTTTTTGAGCCATGCACTCACGACAGACGAAGACAAGAAGACGATCAGGAGGGCACAGTCGCCTCTGGGGGCGCTTCGGGAATTGCAAGAGATGTATGACCCGATCACAACCATGCAGAATGCAGATGACATGCAGAAGTTATTGGTCAAGAGAATCCCCGATGATCGACACCCCGTGCACACCCTCCGTGATATGCTGACGACTGCCGAACGCCTTAACACGAAAGGCATCGTTGCTAACGAAACTTTCGTTTTGAACCACTTCGTTGGTGCGCTTCCGAACGAGTTTGCCATGACCAAGCACAACCTGCGGCACCAGAAGGTTTTGACGAAAGAAGACGTGATTCGCGAGGTCACAATCGAGTACAATGCGATCACGGAGAAGCGGAAAGCAGCGAAGAGAGGAGCACGGGGCCCCGAGCAGGCCTACCTCGCCAACGGTGGCCGCGGCACGCGGTCATCTGGCCGAGGCTGGGGCCAGGGTCGTGGTGGTGGCCGCGGCAGCAGCGGCGGACGCGGCAACGGCCGGGGCGGTAGCAGCAAAGGCGGAGGGGATGGTGGAACGAAGGAGAGCAAGTCGGACAGTAGTGGGGGAACAGGGGCCGGCGGTCGCGGCGGTGGGAAAAGCGAGATTCCTTTCCGGTGCTTCACGTGCGGTCTCAAGGGGCACAAGTCGTTCCAATGCGAGACCAAGGAGAGCGACTACAACCCGCAATGTGAGCACTGCCTAGGGTGGGGCCACAAGAAGGAGAAGTGTCCTACGGAGGCGGCGGTGCTTGCCGAGGTGGTGAGCGATGTTGATTCCGTCGAGAACCAGGCCTACATGGCGGAGGCAACCCAGCCAGGCGAGTGTGGTCGTACCGTTGATCTTGGTCTAGTGGGGGTAGAGGAACAAGGCCAGGGTGTCATGAGGTACGTGGCCGATTCAGGGGCCACGTGCTCCATGTTCAGAAGCGCAGACGGCTTCAAGAACTACCAAGAGTGTAATCGACGGGTGAAGGGGATTGGTGGAGAATTCCTTCGAATTCTAGGATACGGGGACGTGACCGTAGTCCTTCAGTCGGAAGGCCAAGAAGTACCCGTGCCGATTAAGCGTGCAGCTCATGTGCCAGGAATGGACTTGAACCTTATCTCGCTCACTTCGTTGACCGAGGAAGGCCACACGTACGCTGGAAAACCGGGGGGGCTAGTGCTAACCACGAAAGCAGGGAAGGAAGTGTGGTTCCCCCAACTCGGAAAATTGCTCTCTCTGTGGGGCTATCAAACCGAGCCCGAGGTAGACACCGCCTGTGCCGCTATTATTGTTCCTGGCGAAGCGAAAGCCGCCACCCCCACTGACCTCAACGAATTCCACAACTCGCACGGCCACGCTCACGAGAGGTTGCTGAGGCTCACGGCGAAGCAGCAGGGAGTGGAGCTGACGGGAGGGCCGCTCCTGAGCTGCACCGGCTGCTCTATGGCTAAGGGGCAGGTGAAAGCCGTTCAGAGATTCACGGACACACGCGCAGTTAAGAAACTGTTTCGAGTTTTTATCGACCTGGGGGGGCGGATGCAGTTCCATAGCATCGGGGGCAGATGGTACACCCTCATCATCAGATGCGATGCCACCCGTTGGACGCGCGTGTTTTTTCTGAAACGCAAGTCTGAAGCAGCCGACGCACTCGAGCAATTTATCGCGGATTACCGGTCGGAGGGTACTCCGTGTGAGGTGTACGTTGTGCGTTCAGACAACGAATTCCAGGGGCAGTTTTCGAAGACTTGCCGGAAGTGGGGTATCAAGCAAGAGAAGACCCCCCCGCACACCCCCAAGTACAACGGTGTTGCGGAAAGATGGCTAGGCATCATTAGTGATGCCGCACTAGCGTCACGCATTCAAGCTAAGGAGATGTTCCCTGACGCGCCAACTGACCCGGCCTTGTGGGCTGAGGCGATCGCATGTGCATGCCATCAACTGAACTGCACCGCCACCACCGCCAACCCCGGGGACAAATCTCCGTATGAGATGTTCCACGGGAAACCGCCCCCGGCCGGGTCGGTGTACCCGTTCCTCAAACCGGCGGTGTACAAGGCACGAAGAGAGAGAAAATCGCACCCCAAGGGCCGAAAAGGATGGTACCTCGGACCGGCCCACAACCACCCCCGTGATTGCGTCCGCATGCTAACCGAAGCTGGAACCGTAGTCACCACCCGCAACTTCACTTGGCGCCACGTACCCGCTGTTTCGCCCGTTCCCCCGCAACTGCCCCTCGCGGATATTGGGGAGGGAGGGGAGGGCGAGGGCAGTGAGGACACGTCGAGTCGAGGTGGAGGGGGGGAAGAGGACTTGGCGAGTGAGTCCGACCTCGACATGACGGAGATCCGTGGGCCGGGGCGTGCGACACTGCCGGCGCGCGAGAATGCGCCGGCGGTACCCGGCAACGGGATCCAGGGGGACGAAGGTAGTGCTCCCCCGTCGCCCCATTTGGGAGGGGGCGATTTTGGTGGCGGCGATGGCATCCCCACCAGCAGCAGCAGCAGCAGCAACAGCAGCAGCAGCAGCAGCAGCAGCAACAACAGCGACACCAGCGGCGGCGGCGGTGAACCCGAAGACTCCGGCGGAGAGGCCGGGGGAGCTGGGGGCTCCGACGTCGACGGCGAGGATAGCGGCGGCAGCGACGACGGCGAGTACAAATACGACCCCGCCGATACCCGCTACCCCCCCGGGACGCAGGGAAAGAAACTTCTCTGGGGCGCCTCGAAGGAGGGCCCACTGCGCTACGGGCTGCAGCGCGGTCGCACCCGGAAGCAGACACGGGAGCTAGCGGAGGCCGAGAGGACCGCCGAGGGTGCCGCCGAGGAGGCCGCCGAGGAGGCCTTGCTGTCAACAGTCCTGGAGGTGGAGGGAGGCAAGGAGCTCGTCGCTGAGTATCTCCAACGGTCGTTGGTGGAGGAGCGCCAGATGGAGGAAATGGCCCTACAGGCTGAGATTGAAGAGATGATGCTGCAGTCGGACGTGCCGGTGGAACGTCCTTTCAACATCGACTGCAGCAACCCTGAGCTAAGTATCCCCTCGCCAATCGGGCAGAAACCTAACGATGTAGAGGCTCTGCCGTTGACGTACGAGGACGTGAAATGGTCTAAGTACAGGAAGCAGTGGGACGAGGCAATCAAGAAGGAGATGGACGGGCATGAGAAAACAGGGACGTTCTCTAAAATCGAGAAGCTCCCTGAAGGTCGGAAGGCAGTCAGTACGAAGTGGGTGTTCGATTACAAGACTGATGAGAAGGGGTTGATTACCGACTTCAAGGCCCGTCTGGTTGCTCGTGGTTTTTCCCAAGTCCACGGACAGGACTACCACCACTCTTCATCAGCGTGCCCAGCCGTTTCATCGATTAAGCTCGCGATGGCCTTTGCCACAGAGGGCGGCCTACCCACACGCCATTTCGACATTAAGCAGGCGTACACGCACGCAAAGATCCAGGAAGAACTCTATGTGCGGATTGCCGATGGTAGTGGTGCCATGGCTGGCAAGGTGCTCAAGGTAGAACGGGCACTGTATGGTCTGAAGCAGAGTGGGCGTGAGTGGGGTTTTGAGGCTGCTAATATCCTGGTGGATAGCGGGTACGAGCAGTGCAGGGCTGACCCGTGTGTGTTCCGTAAGATCGTGGATGGGAAGGTAGTGAGCATCATCGTGATCTACGTGGACGACATCATGTACGTAGGGTCGGAAGAAGAGGGCGAGGAGTTGCTCACTTCCCTGCGTAAGACACTTCCTGTGAAGGATTTGGGGGAGTGCACCTGGTACGATGGATGTGCGATTGAAAGGGATTTGGAGTTGGGAACGACCACACTGTCCCAGAAAGCGTACATTGCAGGACTGATGGACCGTTTTGGGATCACGACGACCGCATCCACCCCCGCTGACCCCAATGCCGATCTAGGGCCGAAGAGAGATGACGAGCCCGGGGTGGATAAGCCAGTGAGGCAGGCGATCGGATGTCTGATGTGGCCTGCGACATTTACGAGGCCGGACATCGCCACCGCTCTGAACGCAGTGCAACGGAACGCTCATGCGCCCACCATGCGAGACTGGAAGGCGCTCGTGCAGATCCTGAGCTATCTCAACGCCACGATGGACCTCGGCATCACCTACGTTCGGGGTTCGGGGCTAGACCTAGAGGTGTATGTTGATGCCAGCTACGCCGACAGGGACACCGGCAGGCGTTCGGTGACGGGAATAGCCGTAACTGTTGGTGGTACCGTGGTCAGCCACGCTAGCAAGACGCAGCGTATCGTGTCTCTGTCGACCTCGGAGGCTGAGTACATTGCAGCCGGGGAAGGCGTGAAAGAAGCCTTGTTTGTGCGTGCGGTGCTGTCTTTCATAGCGCCTGAGACGAGTGGGGCGAAGATCAAGGTCCTTGAGGACAACCAGGGGGCGATATCGTTGGTGCAGAACCCCTTTAGCTCGGCGAGGAGCAAGCACATCGACGTGCGGTTCCATTTCATTCATGAGCTGTTCAAGTCGGGCAGAATCTCCGTCGAGTACATCCCGACTGACGAGCAGCACGCCGACCTTCTCACCAAGGCTCTTGGTAGGACCAAACTAGAAGACCACCGGAATGCTCTGATGAACATCCCGGGGTAGTGGTCTGTTTTTTTTTTGTTGTTGTTTAGCACTGGGCTTTATGATCATGGTACGTCACGCAGGAAGGATTTACCGGCACGTCACTCGAGGTTGGAGCCTAGAAGCGCCCGTAGCGCTACCGAGAGATGCGTAATCCCCGTGCCCGGTACAATTTGTGCTGCCTTGATCTTGTCTTGGAAGTGCGGCAGTTGGATTCCTCCGTGATACCGACGGTTATATATGTTTAGGGTAGGCGAGGGTTTTTGATCCGGATGGCCGGGTTTTCCCTTGCACCGTTACTGTTTAGAGTCCCTAGGTCTGATCAGGGGTAACCATGCCCCACGGATGGTTTGCCACTTGCGTGAAAAACCAGGGAGGGTGTTCGTGTGTTTGGATACGGACAGGTATTGATCGACCGCAGTAACGGATATATTCGCAGATAGGAACGTAGACATACCATTTTGGGGTTCTTGTGTTTGTGACCCCTGCTTCTCTGTTTTCCGGAAGCACTCTTCTTCTTCTCTTCTCTTGCTTCTGCGTTTCTAATACAAGCGATATTCAGTCTCTCCCTTCCAAGTCGCGGACATATACAACAGGACATGTATTGAACGAGGCAACGTCGGACACGTCAGGATCATAACGAAATTTCGGTTCGATAATCACACAACCACAGCACAGTTTGAGTACGCCATACACTACATCGACACCAGCAGACGCGCATGAGGTTGCCCGCTGGTCCACCTGGAAACACTTACCCATCGTCGTTGTGAGCGACGCAATTCGTGGCCGCATTGTTGTTGATCTCTGCCGCGACGTACACAGTATTGGCATCGCCCATCCCCGGGTCAATGACGACAGAAGGACTGGCCCATTTCATCTTAGCTCGAATTCCAGTTTCCTCGTAGAGTTCGCTTGATGCCGCCTCCTGAGCGCTCTTATTGTCGTCCATCAGCCCAGCAGGGGCCTTCATTACCTAGCCGATAACCGATTTAATGTCACGAACACAACAATCCGGTCTAAAGAGAACTACTGCCACGGCCCGCCAAGTGAGGTTCTTGCCGCGGTGTCGACACGAGAACGGGCTGCGCAAGAACGTGCGGTTGCGGCATCAGAAGGATAAAGAAGAAAAAGCGGGTCGTCTAAATGACGAGCTGGTGGAATGCCCTCATTTAGTCGGTCTGAGTGAGATTTGCGTTCGACAGAACCCGACGGGTCCATGATTGGTATTCCCACCGTGTTGGCAAAACCCATTGGTGGTACAGCTCCCTTCCGTGGATCCGACAAGCTTGAGAGGATTGCGAGAATTTATGACATCCAGGCGCGCTACGGCTCTCTTCGTTTCACCCCTCTTCGCTGCGAGCTTGCAGAGCGCTCTTGGACCGCGCTTCACCATCACCGGCAACAGCGCTTGACGGAACTATCCTCACCAAAACGCCGAGCGCAGGACGGAACTGCGAGACAAGGACAACCTCATCAAGATCATGTTGATCGTGGACGATGCGGCATATGACGGTCACTCCGTCAAGGTTACCCTTTCTAGTCTTGCGGTACGCAGCCTCCCATTGGCGTTCCTCGCCCGTGGGGTCTATCCACAAGATTTCCTTAATCCCAACCAATGAAAAGCTGGCGTCGCGAGGTCTTCAGAACCCAGCAACGACAACTGTGGTTTCGGAGGCATTGTGGATCCCAGCCTGTTGACAGAAAGAATACGGGCAGAGCATAACGTGTGAGACACCTCGCAAAATGGGAACTAGCTTCACACGCGACTGCTTCAGTCATTCTAGCAAAATGTGGCTCCGGTACAGCGGCACATGAACGCCACCACCAGCGCGATTCCTCCTGCGTCTCAGCAGCCTTGCGACTGATCGGCGCCGGGTTTTTCCATCGGAGACAACCCATACGGGCTAGGATGGCCCGGAATGCACGCATTACGGACAATGGTTCACCCTTGGGATTCGGATCGGGAAATCTGGTTCATACGTTGCGGCATCGCCGAATACTCAACCCTGTTTTCATGCCCGTGTGTGAATCTGCATGTGGAACAACATACGGGTACTCGCTACCCTACTGGAGGTTATTCGGTGCCGAAGTCAGCCATCAATGTGGACCTGAAAAGTTGCTGCCCCCATCCATTGCCTGCGCACGTAGGTTTCATGCTGGCCCTGCCTGATCGGTCGGATTGTCGTACCCTCTGTGCCATACGTTCAGTCTGTTGTGGTTATTCGGACCCTTAACTTTGTCCGGTGCCGTAGGCGATATTTTTTTTATATCTCTGATGTTTTTTCAGTTGAATCCCTCCCTCCCCTTTTGATTTCGCGCATTACCCTGCATGAATGGACGGCCGAAGAAAGATCAGTCCGCCCCCAAAAGGCCGTTGGCGTCTCGGCGCTTGTTTGTGCGGTTGCTTTTCGCGTCTTTGATTTTACAGCAGTATTACAAGCATGACCATGCGTACTCGCAGCAAGACGATTGGTTCGCGTCGTGGTAGTCGTAGCGCGCCTGCCTCGCGTTCGGGGTCACCCTCCCCAGCTCGCGTGCCCTTTGCCCGCCTCTCTTCCACCTCGCTTGTCGTTCCCTCTGGCGGCGAGCTTTCTGGAGTCTCGATTGCTGGTCTTCCTGCCGGATCTTCCGCCGGCGATCTTCAGAACCCTACCGCCGTCCAACTCGGCGCTGCCGCCGCTGCGCTGGGGGTCACGGCTCACCCGGGGGCTGTGCGTGGCCTCCTCAGCGACGGAGACGATGAACAAGACGGCGACAGCGTCGCCTACGTCGACGCGGACCTCTTCCAGACCGAGGAGGAGCTTCGCCAGCTCCGCGAAGACGCGTCCCTCGCGGCCGCGGTTGAGGGCAGCCTCCACCTCTCCGACGGCCCCCCACCGCCGGGGTCGCCGGCCGCCGTGGCCAACGCTCACGCCGACGCGTTGTGCGCCCGCGAGGGCTTTGCCACGGTGTCGCATGACGCCAGGGCGGCCGATGTTGCGGCCGCGGCAGCCGACTTGGCCTTGCAGCGTGAGATATCGCAGCAAGCTGCCGCCGCCGCTGCTACTGCCGTCAGCCGCCTGCAGCTCCTGGAACGCCGCGCTTCCGACGCGGGCGAGGAGGTGGAGCTGGTCCGCGCTTCCGTGGCGCTTCGCATGGAGACGGCGCGGGCGGACGTTCGGAGGAGCACGGTAGCTCTTGGCATCGCCGAGCGCTCGCTGTCGCCTACGCCCGCCGGCTCTTCCGAGCTTCCCCACCACGCGCCTTCGTATTTCGAGATTGTACGTGGATCATCTCCAAGCTCTTACGAACGCAAGAGCGGGAGCCCCGGGCGCCCCGGGCGGCAGGCCGGCCGCGCCACCTCCCTTACGCCGCCGACCCCGGCCTCCCCCCCGCCCATCCCGGTGGCGCTGCCAGCGCAGGCCGGGGCCGGGGGCGAGGGCGCTGCATCCCGTTCTTCGCCTTCTGCATCGGCTGACGTGGCGTCGAGGATTTCGCGCTCTTCTCGGGCGGGGAACTCTTCGGTTGCATCGACCCATGGTCTCCCGCCCCCCGATTCTCCGAGGGCGGGCTACCGCCGTATGGGCATCGCCGCATCGGTGGCCGCTGCCGCCGCCGGCGCCGCCCCGTCTGCGGCGACGCCCGCGGCCGCTGCCCCTACTGCGGCGGCGGCGCGGCGGCGAACAGGCTTCATCACCACGCACCACGCTTCACCAGCTTCAGCAGCGCCGGCTCCGGAGGCGGCGGGGAAACGGCGGGGAGGAGCTGTAATTCGCCGCCACACTCCGCCGCCGCTCCGCCAACCAGCTTAGGGGTCCTCGGCCCCTCCGCCGGCCAGCCCCCCTCGGGCCGGCGCTCCCCGGGCGAGGGAACCGCCGGCCGACACGCGGCGGGCTGGCGTCGTGATTCGTCGTCACGATCCTCCGCCGGCCGTCGCGCGGCGGGGGAGTGTTGTGATTCTCCACCACGACTCCGGTGCCCGACGAGCTTCGACTTCTTCACGGAATCCGGTGCCTTCTCTTCGTGGCTCGGCGTCGCGGCCGTCGTCGGAGACCGACCCAAGGGCGGCGCCGCCGCGTGCACACCAGCCACACGAGAACCCTCGGGAGCCGGCGACGTCGCGGGATCAATACGTGCGCCGACACACTTCGGTGCCCGCGCTCGACTTCGCCGCAGAAGAGGCGCGGCTTCACCGCGGTGGAACGGTCGCCTCGGGTCGGCCACAGCAACCCCGCCGGCGATACTGGTCCGACAAGCTCCATGTTCCGCGTGACACCCTCTCCGGTGAGATCGGCAGGAGGACGCTGCTGGACGAGCAGCTGGGTATTCGACTTCACGACGCGGAACGAGCGTGTGCCGGGTCGGGATGGACGGACCCAGAGTTGGGGGACGCCTACACGCAGGCCCGCTCGGACTTCAGCGACAACCGCCGCCGCTTGTGGGAGCTCGAAGACGCCTGCGATCGGCGTGAAGGCCGAGCGCACGCGTGGGGTCCTCCTCGCGATTGGGAAATGCTGCGGGCGGTGCAAGCGGAGCCGGCGGCCGACCGCCGGGAGCCGCCGTCGCCGGGTCGCGACGGTCAGCGTGAGCGCCACCGCCGAACTAACAAACGCTCGCGGCGGCAGCACAACCGCTCCTGCCGCGAGAGTTCTTCCTCCTCTTCGTGGTCGTTGGACGGCTCGGGAGACGNCAACCGCCGCCGCTTGTGGGAGCTCGAAGACGCCTGCGATCGGCGTGAACGCCGAGCGCACGCGTTGGGTCCTCCTCACGATTGGGAAATGCTGCGGGCGGTGCAAGCGGAGCCGGCGGCCGACCGCCGGGAGCCGCCGTCGCCGGGTCGCGACGGTCAGCGTGAGCGCCACCGCCGAACTAACAAACGCTCGCGGCGGCAGCACAACCGCTCCTGCCGCGAGAGTTCTTCCTCTTCTTCGTGGTCGTCGGACGGCTCGGGAGACGACAGGGATGAATGGGGGGCGCCGCGGCGCCGGTCGGCGCCGGCGGAACGAGAGGCCGTCCATCACGTGCGGGCCTCAAGTTCTCGCCGGCAGGGCGCCGCGAGTGGTGGAGGGAAGCAGAGCACGTGGTCGGCGGGGGGAGGAGACCGCGGGACTCGGCGTTCGGGGGAGGACGAGAGGGAGCGTCGACACAGCCGAGCGTCGTCTTCGAGAGGCTCGGAGGCTGGTGGATCTTCCCGGGCTTCGAGACTAACCCGTGTGCCGTGTTCTTTGTCCCCCAGCTCACGATCTCCTTCCCCACCCCCTCACAATCCGAAGGTATCCTCTAAGCTCATGGCACTCAACGTGCACCACATGTTTCAGCAGTATGTGCGACCACGCCTGCCGTTGCCTGCCGGCAACACGTGGACGGCCCTAGTTACGTTGGTAGGTCGGCTACGCCATGTAGTCAGGCACGGCCGACAGGCTTGCGGCGATTTCCACGCCACCGCGTGGGCTCCAGAGTGGACGTCGCTCGCTCAACAATTTCTTGTGAGTTGTGTAGCGGCAGAAAGTGGGGAAGGGCCGGTAAACAAAATTTTGTCCATCGGCCGGGACCTCGACGACACAATCCGAGATAGGAAGCTCAACGACCCACAAGGGTTTGCCGAGCTTGTCAGCCAGCTCACGAGGCGATTCACGAGCTTGAAGGTCAATTCCATCCCGATCATGTTGGCACAGTTCTCCGTTCCGATCCACACACCCCTGCAAGATTGGATAGTCCCACTAAAAGAAGTTGTAGGAGGGTTGTGTTGATTCGAGGACTCGTGCCCGACAGACGCACAAATCGTTTCAACCGCCATTGAAGGTCTGGCCGTGCAGTACCCAGAGATATCCCTTTTCGTGAAACCCAAACTTTAGAAAGCGGTCACTCTGGCGGACATGTGGAAGTGCTTTCGGGATGACGAGATAGACGAAAGTAACGCCGTAGCCAACGCACCCCCTTGCTTTAGGAACGGTGTCCGCCAGATCAACACATTCTCACCGACCAAGGGTTCACGCGGTAGTGCGGGTCGCTCGTTTGAAACATTGACCCATGGACGCCGAGTATGAACTAAGCAGTGACGAGGAAGGATACCAACGCACATCTCGGCACCTGTACCCCGTGCTCGGAAAGGGATCAGACAAAAACGCATCAACGTCTAACAACCCTTCGCTCCGCTTCTGGAAATACTCCGCTGATTCGGTAGAGGGCGTGAAGGCTAAAAGTCAGCTGCCGCGTGACGCCTGCTACAACTGCGGTCGCACCGATCACTTCCTGCGTGGTTGCCCTGAGTCCTTTAAGAATGAGTGTGGTATGTTTTGCGAATCATTCGGGGAGAGTAGCCCCGTTTCGGTTGAAGAAAGATGGCAAGCCAAGCTCCGTAGCCTAAAAAAGAAACAACAAGGGAGGGGTCTCTCTTTGTACCCTGGAAAATAGGAAGTCGACATCGAGAGTTTCCGCCTCTCGGTGATGGAAACGTCGGAGCCTCACGGTGGTGGAGAGGGGCGGAAACCGTCGCCGCCGCCCAAACCGTCTAATGATTTCCGACCTAGTATAGCGAGGGGCGGGGAGCCATCTGGTTCCCCACCTACTTTGTCGGACAGTAGTAAAACACCGGCGAAGCTACCAGGTTGTGTAGCTCCGAAACCCGAGCCGACTCCGAAACCCGAACCGACTCCGAAACCCGAGCCGACTCGGAGTCCGACAGACCGAGTGCACAGTACCAGGTTGAGTGTAATTGGCTTAGCCGACCAAGTCTTGTGTCCTGGAGTCGTAGGCGATAGAGAAGAGGGGGCTGTCCGCTTGATCCGTGGAATCCCAGCTTGCCCTTTTACGAAGATTTCTGCGGCTCAAAACCGGCCCGAAAACCGATCTGAAACCGAACTCCGAACCAAAAGTAGTATAGACAAGCGCGGGAGGTGGGATGCCATGTGAAAACCGGCGTTCAAGACGGCGCCGGCGGTTGTGGGCTCATCTCCCCGGGGTAGTTACTGTGTGCCGAAGCGAGCGTTCCCCACGTTGCCAATGCTTCCAGTAAGTGCCGAAATCCCAACAAATCGGTTGAGTGACAACGGAGCAGAAGAAGAGACGAGTTGTTCCCTGCCGTCGGCTTCCCCGTTGGCTGACCTTGCAGATAGTGAAGCAGGCATCGCCGCACCAGCGGCCGTGTCTAAGTCTACTTCACCGGCATCGCTATCCGCCCGCCCCGTTCTGTCCGATCGGACGAGTATACATCTTATCTTTCCGTAGGGGGGGGGTGTACTCATAGTCGTGCATGCCGTAGTCGTTAGACCATTGACCTCGCATCCCTACAAAGCCGGGACGGAGCACGCCGGGTTCTCACCGGACCAGGCTCTCACATCACCAAGCGCGAAGCGCCGTGAG